TACATGTCCCCAATCTTTCGGTATGTTAGCCATATCTTCATCGCCGTTGGCGATCATCCCGACAAACTGGGTAACTAGGTCATCGAAACATTCGGGAGAGTGAGAATCGCAGATGGGGTGATCCTCGGTGCGAGGTTTGGTGGGTTTCGTCAAGGCTTGTTGAAGCCAGTTAGAGTAGGTTGCCGCCGCTTTCCTTAATCTGGCCAAGAAGCCAGAAAGGAAGTGATCGGTGGCAATTGTAGATCTGATCGGGGGTCCAGTTTGGATCTTCCCAGAGTCAGAGGGTGGCCTCAAGATCGCTCTCTTGGCTAAGCTTGGTGAAGACGTCGCGTCGGTAGCGGTTGAGATGTTGGGCGAGAGCGTAGGGCCCAACATTCACAGCTTCCTCCAATCCGATGGAGAATGCATAGATCGGGGGAGGCTGCTCCTCCTCCTCTATGGGTAGTTTGGGTTCTTGCAGATGCAAGTCCCCAAACTGGTCAGCGATGAAGTCGACGCTGCCAAAGGTGATCTTCTATCCCGGCACATCCTCTCCGTGGCATCATCGATGTTGATGATGATTCCCATATGAAACACAATATTAATCTAAATGCGAAAGGCTCCTACCTGGCACGCCAACTGTTGGATTATTTAGCTCTAGCAATGCCTAGCAACGTGATCGCATAGATTGATTTAGATGGTTGCACACGAGACAGAGATTTATACTGGTTCGGGCCATCCGGAAGCGAGTAAAAGCCGTACGTCCAGTTGCTACTTCTTCTTGTATTCGTATGCTTGGTTACGGGGGCTGTTGCTCCTAGCTATGAGGTAGATTAGAATGAGGCGACGTGTCGTGGTGGACATGATGATCACGGAGCCCTTACCCCTCTTTATATAGGCAGAGGGGTAGGGTTACAACGATGGCGATCGTCGCTACAGATTGGATTCCTAGTTGGTTACAACAAATCAGTTCTATCCTACCATAGCTATGATGGCAGCAGATATCCTTGATACGTCGTGATCTCCAAGTTGGTAGTTGCGCCTAGTCCTCGTGGGCTTCCTCCTCGGTCGTCCTCTGTTGATGGGCCAGATATATGGTCGGTGAGGATACCCTGAGCCCATATCTCTGACACCTCCCATCAAACTGCTCCACGTGAGAAGCCCCTAAAATCTCGCTGACCAGAGGTGGAGGGCACAACCGGAGCTTGAAAAAACCATATTCCTCCCGCTCCCTTGGCAGACGCATGCGAGTGAACATGGCTGCTCCTATGGCCCTGACTACCGACTTCTTCCTAGATAGCTGCTTCAGCATGGCGTGTGTGGCAAGAGAGCGTGCGACGAAGGTGACGGGACGATTTGGCGGAGAGGGCATAACAAAGATGGCGCGAGCGCGATGGAGAGGGCTTCGACATGGGCGCGGAGGAGAGGGATCAGGCGCGACAAAGACGGATATGGCGCAGGCGTGGCGGAGAAAGCGAAGACAAAAACGAGATCCGCGACGAGGCGAGTTGGCGTGCAGTGGGAGACGGATAAGGAGGAGAGAGAATAGAAAGGAAAAAGAAAGAAGAAAGAAAAAAATGATGGATGAAAATGAAAAGGAAAATAAAAAGGAAAAAAGGGAAAGGATATTATGGTTCAAGGTTAAGTTGTTTTACACTTTTCTAACTAGTGAAGTTGGAGCCAGAAAACCTATTTTTTTAAAGAAGCTATAGCTATAGCTATTTTTAATAAAGATGAAGCTCTACCAAATAGACAGTAATATACATAGAACCATATAGACCACGATCTCATGCTTATATGGCCAAGCCGGTAGAAGCCAATACCTTTTGCTCCTGCCCGGGAGAAGCCAATACTTTTTTTCTATGCCTGCTCCCCAGCTAGTGGAGCATGAAGCAAGAGCCGGAGTCAGAGCGGGAAGGAGCTAGACGAAATAGGTCCAAATGAAAGTTATATAATCTCTCATGGGATTCATTTTTAAACCTCTTTTAGCATTGTATTTCAAATACTTTCTCTATATTGTAAAGTTCATTCGATGTTGATTTCTTTGAAATGCTTTTTTCTATGCAATGAAAATAAAAACCATGGCGAACTGAGCGTAACTCAGCTGGTTGGGTTCCTTGTGGTGAAACCTGCCCACCAGAGTTAAAGTCGCCGACTTGACACGGATGCTCGTATTTTTCTGGATTTATTACATGATTTAACGACGCTATTCTTTCAGTGGTAGGCGATGTGCCCGTCGATAGCGAGACGTTTGTGGTGACTTCATCAATCTCAAAATTTACCAGATTTACCGGTCCAACTCAGTTCTTCGGAGGTATTCGTAGGGGTAGGGTGTGCGAGCGTGTGTGTTCATAGATGTGAATGTGCGCTCATGTATGTTCGAATTTACCGATCCAACTCAGTTCTCGGTGCTCATAGAGGTAGGGTGTGCGTGCGTGCGTTTATAGATGTGAGTGTGCGCTCGTGTATACGAGCGTTTGACGCCCTGTTCGCTTGGCTTATAAGCCGTACTTTTTCGATCAACGAACAATATTTTTCTCTCACAATAAATCAGCCGACAGTACTTTCAGTCATGACTTATCAGCTAAGCGAACATGGCATTATGTAACTAGGTCTTGCAAAAAAAAAACATGTATTTCGGCCTTGGGACTCACTCATGCAAAAGCCGTGGACTTTCTTCAGTGCAAGGGATCCATGGAGAAGAAAAATGTAAGCTGGCCATGTACTCCGCTGTCACACCTCTAACATGTAGTAGTAGGTTCCAAGCTTTCAAATCCTAGATTTGTTCGAGAAAAACCATCTTCTCACTCAGCTTAGTACAATCAGTACAGCTGACAAGATTTTTATACGGTAAGTGGGCGGAAGCCATGAAGGTGATGCAGCCATGCAGGGGCAGGTGACCATGGAGGCAAAGAATGTGAAACAGGAGGGAGGAACTGCCGAACTGGGAAGAGCCAGGAGGAGACAGCCATGTGAGCGATGAGCAGGGGATGAAACTGGCCCTAGAAATAATCGTGCCGGTTTTCTTGTCCGGGTCTTTCAGAACCCCACCTTTTTTTTTCTAAATCGACCAGTAGCAGGTAAAATAGAACAGTTTTAAAATATTTTCTAATCAGAGGTATATCCCATGATGGATTGATAGTACCGGTACAGAGTAGTATATCATGGAAGCAGATGAGAATTAAACAGAGGGAGTGAGAGAGATCTCAAAGGGTCCCAAAAGCCAAAATTATGTCGTTGTGCCCAGCAAACGCTAAGACACTAGCAAACTTGTACTACATGTGATTCGGTTCAAGAGCAATCAACACATTTCACAACCCTAAGGCACTGTTCATTTAGCTGAAAAACCAGGTTGAAAAGTATTCTTCGTTGATTCGCTGATTTATTATGAGAGAAATAATATACCATGGCTAATAAGGCAGAATGATAAGTTCAAGTCTGCGTGGCAAAAAAGAAATGCCAAGAGTCGCAATCAAGGCGCCAACAAGCTGACCCACAGTTTGAAAAAAAAGCCGACTCAAGCACACCACTGAGAAAACCTTCCTACTCCTAAATCCTAATAAGCATAGCCCATGAACAAAATGCATGTGCCTTTGTGATTGCCATGCGCTATTGGCATCAAGTGTATTGTGGAAATATAACAAAATGGTATGTCAAGTGTGAATGGGTTAGCACGTCAACAAAACAAGTAGCAATTTACATCCTTGCAGATGCTTCATTTTCTTGGTGTGTTTCCTATTGTAAGGAACATCTTAAGTACCATATTTACCATTTGTGACTAGCTTACTAAAAACATGTATGCCAGGACTCATTATTTGACAAGTCCGGTGTTATAGTTCACATGAAACCCAACTGGAACAAAGAATTCCTTCTAACTATATCGAACTAAATTCCAAGATAGTTTCAACAAGGAACCCATACCCTATGCTCAAATAAACCCTCATAATTCCACATTAGGAATGGAGCATTACGAGTACAGCTCAAATAGAGATGGACTATGTCAATCAGTAAACTTCTAAACAGTCTCTAATTATTTTCTTGAAACAAAACTTTAGTTCTACTATTTCCAATGCAGCTGGTTCAAACTGTAAGCACGACCAAGATCTACTCTATTCCTACTCCTAAGGGGTGGCTAGAGCCAAAAAGGTAAATGACTTGTATATTGGATTGATTGTTGTTTTTACAATAGCCAGGGTTTGATATTTATACCCGGGCCCTGTGCATGACTCCTGTCTAAGCACGACTCATTACAATTTTTGACCCTAGAGAAAACATTCCTAATTTAGGATAACTTGAACTCTAATCTTTCCCTTTTTGTATAGTCCAACATGTCTCGTTCCGGCGCTGATCGTAGCCTTCATCGTCATCTGCCAGCGCTGCCTGAAGAAAGCTGATTCCAGTGCTGCATTCAAATCAGCTGATCTCGATCCGCATGCAATTGATTCCCTGCTGACATGATATTGGGAGCTTTCGAGTCCCTATGACTCTTCTTCCAAATTTTGGTGTAAACAATACTAATTTTGAATGCTTGAGTCCAATAAAAGTCAGACCCAAATATTGATGGCATTAGCAATCTGAAGCGAATTGCAGATAAGGTAACAGGACATATTAAAGTTTGATCCAACAATTGAACTGCACAATGAAAATACCATAGGAAGAACAAGAACAAATATAAGAAACACGAAACACATATTAATACCGTACCATAGACATTTGATAGGTTAATTATACCCTCTCCTCACAAGCAGTGTTTCAAATGACATGAGAATGTCTATTGACCCGAGAGCAAGCAGAGGGTAAAAACCTAGAGCAACATCATTACACTAGAGACATTGACACCAACATTGCTAAAAATCCACTAGTTCTAGCTAATAAGTTGCAAAGATAATCAACACTAAGGGTTCAACACCAATATATTAGTTTACTTTGCAACACTTTGCAAGACAAAATACACATTACTGGAGTTGAAGATGCCAGCAAATGGTGGTGAAATATTGGTGCGCACAGGCGTCGATTGCTGATCAGCACCGCCATGCTGCTACAGTAACAAGCTCACCACGCTGCCAGTATAGTGTGAGCCCGACCCCACATTTCTCCACATGGAAACCACGGACCTGCACCCGCTTCAGGAGGCAGTCGGCCTGTGCCTCCGCCAAATTGCTGGGTGGAACAGGCGCGAACCCAGCAGCTGCAAATGCACTTCTCCATGCAATTGGCTTGTCAACCTTGCCCCGCCCAAGCACCGAATCCTCAATTCTTGGCTGAATCAGGAACCTCTCAATCTTGCCGGCAGAATCAGCATCAATGCCAGCAGCATCAAGCGAATCAAGGAGGAACATGCAAGATCGAAAGCAATTCAAGAAGTGCTGTGAGAACGGAAGATCAGCATGATCAGCGCCATGGTCTATGGCTATCACAATCTTAGGAGCCAGCTGTTTCACCAACCGAAGGATCGCTGGCAGTGGTGGTGCACGAGCAGAGCAACCAGCCGGGAGGACAACAGCTACAACTTCATCACCAGTGGCAGAAATGAGCTCTGCAGGGTTGATCATATCAGCACTGATTGCACTGAACTCAAAGGGAATTCCAAGGTCTGCAGCAAACTGTGCAATGTTGTCACGCGCAAGACGCAGCTCCAGTGGATGGTGGGAAGCAACCGATACAAAGGCAGTGAGCTTGACGAACGGCAGAGCTGCACCACCTGCGCCACGGCGGTGTGCAAGCTCCTGCAAGAACGAAGCCCACTGGCCTCCAACACCAAGATCAAAATCGATGACATGGATGCAGGACGATGTGCTGCCAACAATTTCGTCAAGAAGCGCCTGCGTTGCGGTGAAGTTGGTGAACTGGAGCACGGGCGAGTGGTCAGAGAAAGTCTTGTAGGCTGCGAGCTTGAGGGCAACGTCGAGTGGTGATGTGAGGTGGCAGCCGCCGTGGTGGCCTTCGGCGAGCGCGAGGAGGAGGGCCTCCTTGAGGTAGGAGGCGGAGCGGAGGAACGGCTTCCCGAGCGGGGGAAGCTGGTGATTGAGCCGCGCCAATATCTCTCGCGCGCCAATGGAATTGCCAACTTCGGCGGCCTTTGCCGCCGCCGCCAGCTCGTCCAGCAACTGCTGCTGCGCCGCCTCCGCAGCCGTCGCCTTCATCGCCCCGTGGGGCGGTGGTGGCGAAGGCTGGAGCTGGAATGGAGCAGGGCCATTTAGTGGTGGAAAGGCATGACCTTGCCCCGCCGGCGGCGGCAGAAGCCGGTTCCGGGCGAGATCTATGGATTGATGACGTTTGGGCGGTGGTTGGACGAGTGGCGACTGCTGATTGTGGTCGGGGAAGGAGGGGATGGGCATGAAGAAGGTTGTGGCTGGGGTCGGCTGGTGCTGGTACTGGTGGAGGAGGCCGGGCGGCTGCGCACCAAGAAGAGGGGGCTTTGTGTCGATACCTTCGTGGAACAGCACCGGAGGCGGCGGCGGCGGCGGCGGCTGGAGGGAAGCAGACTCCGATGAGAAGAGGCCGAAGGCCGAGGACGCCTTGTTGTTGCCACCGCCTCCGCTGTTGGTAGCGTGCGACACCGCACCAGGGGACGACATGTCCGAGGCAACGCCGCCAAGGTGGGGATCGAGCGAGAAACCCAGGGGGTCCGCCGCCGGGAACCCGAACCCCACATTGTCAAGGAGCGGCTGCTGGTGCACGGGGAGCGGCGGCCCTGGCTGATCCAGGTCGCCGGCGGCCCCAGTGATCCAGTTCAAGAACGTCTGGTCCTGCCCCGCCGCAGCGGCGTTGCCGAGCCCGAGCATGGCGTCCCAGCTGTCGCCGCCGCCGCCGATCCCCATGTCGAGGCCGGTGGGAATCGGCGGCAGCTCACAGCCGCCGGCCCAGTCCTCCTTCCCGCCGCCGCCGTGCTCGCCGGGGGCTCCCCATTTGGTGGCTTCGGCGGCGTCCGAAACCACCGCCACGCCGGCCGAGTCCGCAGCGCCGCCGCCCAGGGACGACGACAGCGTCGATGTTGAGTTGTTGGGGCTGGGGCTCCGCGTGCAGTCCAGCACGAACCTCGGCTCCAGCAGCGCCTTCGCCTTCCCCTCCTGCCAGAACAGCGTCTTCTCGCCTCCGACGAGGTCCGCAGCCCCGTTCCGCTGGGCACCGAACAGCGCCGCCCTCATCTACCTAATCCCACATAATCTCACCGGGCAAACCGGGATGGCGCGGCGTGGAGGAATTCTTGGCGCGGTGCGTCTGATGGCCTGATGGGGGGGACGGGCCTTGGCCTGGGCGTGCGAGAGTAATAGAACAGGAAGGAGGTGGGGGCAAGCAGGAGCACCGCGTGCCCTTGCCTGCCTTGTGCCTCTGCTCAGTTCTCTCCCAACTCACACGCTCCCTCCAGGCCTCGCTCTCTCTGTCTCTCTCCTCCCCTGCTGCAAGCTGCTATGCTGTGGTCTCGCCCGCTCTCTCTCTCTCCTTGCTTGCTCTGTGGCCTCGTCTCTCTCTACTGCATTGCCCCTGGATGCGTGCAACATAAAAAAAGGTCTTTGAAAAGTACCCCTCTCCATCGTTTTCAATCTACCGCTAGCTTTTTCCACTGTACTGCTGGGCCGATAAACAAAGTTCTAGTAAGGCCCCGTTCAGATAAAAAATGTTTGATTTGGGATACTGTAGCACTATCGTTTGTATTTGTCAATTAGTGTCTAATTATGGACTAATTAGGTTTAAAAGTTTCGTCTCGCGATTTCTCACCCAACTGTATAATTAGTTTTTTTTTTGTCTATATTTAGTACTCCATACATGTGCCGCAAGATTCGATGTGACGGGTACTGCGCAAAATTTTTTGGAATCTAAACGGGGCCTAACTAATTTATTGAGCATTGACGAAAAAAAATACAGCTGACAAGCTAAACGAACAGTATATACTGTATGTAGTCTATATACTGCACTCTACCTACATTTGAGGTACAATTTCGGCCGTAACTCTAAAAAGTAGCGTACATGTATATTCTATATTATTATATTACTGGTACTTTCCAAGCCACGGAATTTTGTTTTTATTATTATTATACTACCAGTATTTAATTATGGTGTGGAGTGTGGAGAGCAAAATTATTGAAGTGCGTCCAGACAGTCAATGCAAATGTACTGCACGAAATCTTTGGGGGTCGCTTTGACGACTGTTTTGTTCGGTTAACAGTAGTACGTGCGAGACTCCAATCATATGACGTCTACGCGGTGGACTAGCACGACATGGGTAGTGTATGGCTAAAAACGTCTTGACCACGTGTTGCTCCTCACCGTTCACGTCTTGAAGCCTTTGTCCTCAAGTGTGGCCACCAAAGTACCTGTCGCAATGGTTAAAAAAAGGGTCGACTTCAGGCATGGACTATTGGACCTGTCTAACTTTTTTTTTTCAATCACTAACCTCTCGGGATTGTTCTGAGTTTCATGCAAAGTTAACGCGTTGTTACAAATTGGGGATCTTTTGTATTAGATGTACTTGAGTTGTTTAAAAGGTGTGGCAAAGAACAACGAGTCTTAAGAATTTTTTATATTAATTTCATAGTTTGGTTAGTGTTGAAAAATTAGGCATACATGAAAGGTAGTACTGGAATGAATAAAACAGACCATGATAGAATGGTTAGAAATTTTACCTTAAGCGGAACCGGTGCCCTGGCACCGGTGGTGATGTTACTGGGTATGACCAAGTCTCGTTGATGTAGTCGAACTCAGTAGATGCAGTGTAGCAACCCAACACAATGTAGTGACACTTTGTACAATGATAACCACCGAATGCCTGTAGAGGCTGGTGCAAAAGTGATGTTGTTGACGTTGGCGTGCAGTTATCGAAGCAGTCTACGCCATCTTCCAATGCAAGATCACAAGAGTGAGATGTTTCGTAGGGATAATAGACTACAATGACGATGCAATATATAGTTCCCAAATATAGGGGCTCCTCATCATGAAATAATAGTTCTAGTGCTCTTTTCTTGGAAGGTGTTGTAAATATATAGGGAGGAGAATCCGATACCTCGATAATCAACAAACAATATGGCACTAATTGATGTCGCATCTTTTCATTCTGCTCGCGAGCTTAAAAACATTAAAGATATTAGGGAACATAGGCAATGGGCCTTTAAGACTTATTAGAAATTTTACATATAGGTTTAAGGGGACTGGCCTATATATAAAATTATAATGGTTAGCACGTACAAACAGTTCGTGGATTCTAAAGTGAACAGAATGGAAAAGATTTGCGTATCTCGACTTCCCAATGAAGAACAATGATGAAAATATAGACAACGTGTCAAACTTAATACAACAATATAAAGAAATTTAACATGATATTATCTTTATTAGCGCATTCAAATTAAAAAGTCATGACGTCATGTAAAGACGGTGTTGTTGTGCGACCCATCATCATGATCATCTAGACGTACCACGCACATCTTCCATTGGCATGTAGTAACGTCTCCTCTTTTTGATACCGTCTTGTTTTAACGCCACACGACTTCCGCCTCCCTTGTGCTAGCTGCTAGCGTTCTTGAATTCACTACGTCACACAAGGTTTGTAGGGGCGGCTCAAGACTATTTGTAAGGGCGGTTTGGCCAGCCGTCCTTCCCAAACCGTCTCTACAAATCATGCATTTGTAGGGACGGTTCCCAGACCGCCCCTACAAATCGATTTGTGGAGGCGGTTGGTGTTATCAGCCGCCCCTACAAATCGATTTGTAGGGGCGGTTGTCGTACCAGCCGCCCCTATAATACCTATTTGTAGGGGTGGTTCAGTCTAGAACCGCCCCTACAGTATATTTTTCCAAAAAAAAATCAAATTTATAATTCAAATTCGACCAGAACATACATATGGCCCTGTTTGTTTCCGCGTATTCCGGCGTTCACGTTGCGAGTGAGCAAGAAAAGCGAGATAATCCCGCCGAATGCCCCGCGACCAACGCGTGATCGGGAATCGCCTGCGGCATGGAACGCGCGAAACTTAACTACGACCCACGATTTGCAAAACGCAGCCTTCGAACCGCGTTCGCTCAAGAGTATTATATAAAGTACAATTCACAAGAATATATAAAATCCATCATTAAATAGACATAATTAACAAGGTAAAATCAATGTCAAATTCTATACACATTATTATCAACGGCCTAGAGCTAGCCTTTCGGTCTCACGAAGGTATTGGTACTGAGGATTTCTACCAAAGTCAGACTCTCGGTCGTGGTAGGTGCCTTTGACGTGTACAATCTAGTCCAATATAAAGTTACAAAGGTCGCCGAGGAGCTCTAAGAGTTGGTCATCCTTGTATGGGTCTCTTTTTATTTCTTTCTCTTCTTTCCACTACAAGAGAACAAGTTTCGGTTTAATATTTCATACCATGTATGAAGTTTTTATACTATAGGTGAAGAGGTTCAAACTTACCCTTAAGGGGTGTTACTCATCATAGAACATACATAGTATCCACAATGTACACTCTCAGGTTTCTGCTTGGGGCACTGTGTGTTTTGCATATGGAAATGTTAAGTAATGCTTTTGCCAGTCATATAATGGAGTACTGAAGAAGTAAGTTACACTTACCGCACATAGTGTTTTTATAGCTAGCTTTTCCTTCCTCGCTAGATCATGCCTTCCGTGATGTTTAGTGACATAGAACCTAAATGCCATGTTTGAATTATTTTAGCAAATATAACTTGTTATTATCCAAAAGTGAACGTTACAAGTATGTATACAAAAATATAAGCTAATGAGGATTATTGATATGTATATGTCTTGAGAATCGATATGAAGTCTTTGTATGTCACCGGGTCCCTATCTATTGAATCAAAGACCCATGCCATGTTCCTCCCGACATCGATGCCTATACAAATCCAGTGGTTGCTGCAAGGATTTAATTATAGAACTAGATAAGCTCTTTTGCATCGAATAAAATATATCAAACAAAGCTTTAAGTATAGAGTTGAACTTACTCGAAGTTGTATGGTAGCCATATAGTAGAGTGCTGTTGGAGAATTTTAAAAGCCAGGGCAATGTATGCTGAAACCTTAAGGGACTATTACCTTAGTTTCTTTGTACGGATGTCCTCTTTCTCCCGAAGGGTCTTTCCAGCAGGTAGCTCTGTGTCATCTAGTTTCCACTGTTTAGGGTAATTAAAATTTGTTTGTGCTATAGCTTGAGGGTCTATATACCCGACTTTCACACTTGATATTTATTTTACAATGTGCACTTGCATTCTATAAATCATGGCGTGGGTTAGTTACAACAAAATCCAAAGATTATATTCATATCATATCGGGAGGACAAGGACTTATAGGCACCACGTGCGAATTAGATTCATCTCCATTGCTCTGAGGTGAAAGCATGTCTGCATGTCATTGAAGTCAAATATAATTTTCCCGGCTGGGCTTCCAAATGTGCTAGTGGGGAAGCATGCTTGTATGAGGTCTATGCTCGTTGGGAGAACACGCAAGTACCAATCATGAAACCTTCTCATTCCAAGTGGTAGGCGCTGGATGTCCCGGTTTGGTAGGAAGAGCTTGCCTCTTTTCATATGTTTTCAGGCAATCCTTTGACCATTTGATGGCATCAACATTTGGATACTGCTTTGTTGTTTGGTGGAGTTTGCTAGTGACGGATTCCTCAGAAGCCCGTGATGGGACTTTTTTTAACTTGGTTCTTAGGCTTGAACTGGTCATGGGCATACCACTTGTGCATCGACGAGACGTCTTTCATCGGAACATAAATTGGCCTTATGGTGATTGGATGCTTCTTTCGAAGTTCCCATTCAGGCACGTCCTCATCTTCTTGTGCATCACCTTCTTTAGGAGGCACTCGTTGTTCATGTATCGGCTGCGCTTGTTGAGAAGACTATGGCATCTCATCATGCACTTGCTCGGTATGAGCTAGAGAAGGTTGTGGCTTATCAGGCACATGCTCGCTAGGAGACGGGGAAGAATGTGGCATCTTAGGAAGTAGTAGAGTAGAGTAAGTGTAGCAGTAGAGTGGTAGTAGTAGAGTAAGAGCAGCAGCCACTTAGAGTAGTAGTAGGAGCATCACTGAAAGAAGAGCAGTAGTAGGAGTAGCAAGTAGAAGTAGGAGCAGCCAGCAAGTAGTAGGAGCAACGGCAGGAGTAAGTGTAGCAAGTAGAAGTAGGAGCAACCAGCTTATAGGATAA